TGTCTGTCCACCTGTCTCATGTCTGTCCACCTGTCTCGTGTCTGTCCACCTGTCTCATGTCTGTCCACCTGTCTCGTGTCTTTCCACCTGTCTCATGTCTGTCCACCTGTCTCCTGTCTGTCCACCTGTCTGTCCACCTGTCTCATGTCTGTCCACCTGTCTCATGTCTGTCCACGTGTCTCATGTCTGTCCACCTGTCTCATGTCTGTCCACCTGTCTCGTGTCTGTCCACCTGTCTCATGTCTGTCCACGTGTCTCATGTCTGTCCACGTGTCTCCTGTCTGTCCACCTGTCTGTCCACCTGTCTCATGTCTGTCCACCTGTCTCATGTCTGTCCATGTGTCTCATGTCTGTCCACGTGTCTCCTGTCTGTCCACCTGTCTGTCCACCTGTCTTCTGTCTTTCCACCTGTCTCCTGTCTGTCCACCTGTCTGTCCACCTGTCTGTCCACCTGTCTGTCCACCTGTCTCATGTCTGTCCACGTGTCTCATGTCTGTCCACCTGTCTCCTGTCTGTCCACCTGTCTGTCCACCTGTCTGTCCACCTGTCTCATGTCTGTCCACCTGTCTCATGTCTGTCCACCTGTCTCATGTCTGTCCTCTCTCAGGGTGTCTGCTCACAGAAATGGTTATAAACTGTTGTCATCACCGTCAGCTGGAGGGAGACTCCGCCCCTCCAAACATGTGATCAGTGACATCATCCTTCACTACAGCTGCTTTCTGCTCAGCCCTGTTTCACAGCTGATCTGTTACCATGACAACCATCACTCAGAGTTAAAGCTGAACTGGTTTCATCTGTTCTTCCTGTCAGAAAAGAGTTTTTATTTTACTCAAGTGACAAAAGACATGGGGACTTCCGGCTAATGGCGGCATAGTGTAAGTCGTGTTTGAGTGTGCTCCCGCAGAGTTGGCTCTTTTTCTAATTACCAGTGGGCACTTTCTCTCAGTTTCGTTTTCAAACGACACCTAAGAGTTTTTCATATAGTGCACTTGTTGGTTCGACTACTAAAATGCCACCAAAGCC